AGAGCGGGGGATGTATTAACTGACCCAAGAAGGGAAAAACAAAAGAAGCACAGTGGATAAAAATGAGGCAAAAGAAAGAAGTAATGAACAGAGACATAAAGAAAATAGAGAAAAGCTTTATTATTAGACATTATAGAAAGAGTTAAATTTACCAGGCATGTATAGCCTCACCCGTGCAGTCCCACCCAAGCAGCTACTAATCTGAAGGTTCACCTTTTAAAGGCATTCAATGCTGTAGTAGCAATCTCTTTAATCATTTGCACTTCATATTTATTTATTTTCAACAACTTTTTCTATTCTCATTAAAGAATGCACGATTACTATCCAATCCACACACATTTTTTTTTTGTGTGTGTGTGGAGGGGACAACCCTCGTCTTATATGATAACAAAAAAAAATATGTCATAGTGTAAACCTCATTCCTTTTGCACTTGGGTTCCAACATCAAACACAAGTATATACTTAAGTCACAAGGTTACATAATAATATATGCTTCATACATATACATATACATATACATATACATATACATATACATATACACATACACATACACATACACACACACATACATACATACATACATACACATATATACATACATACATATATATATATATATATATATATATATATATATATATATATATATATATATCTTTTTTCGTAGGTCTATATGTGTATATCTTGATTTACGTAGGAAAAACCCTGGCTAAAACAATAATGTATGTATGTATGTATGTATGTATGTATGTATGTATGTATGTATGTATGTATGTATTTCTCTTTAGCCAGGTTCTTCCTACATAAACCAAGATTTTTATGCAGCCCTAGTTCAGTGAAATCACAATCCACTAGTTTCTAAGCTTTTTTTTTTTTTTTTCTGGCAGCCAGCAAACACTCTGCTGCCCATTGGGAGACTAAGATCTTAGTCTCAGAGTGTTTGCTGGCTGCCAGAAAAAAAAAAGCCTAGAAACAAAAAGCCCAGAAACTAGTGAATTGTGATTTCACTGAACTAGGGCTGCATAATATCTTGGTTTACGTAGGTGGAACCTGGCTAGAGAGAAATACACATAAAACCTACGAAAAAGAAAGAAAAACAAATATTGTACCTTTACATGGAGGATACATGAGATGAGGGTGTGGCTAACTGATGAGGCCTTATAAGGCCGAAATAGATCTATCTTAGCCTCCCAATGGGCAGCAAAGGGTCTGCTGGCTGCCAGAAGGAAAAAAAAGCCCAGAAACTATATGCCACTTGTACATAATTCTATAAATCTGATTAACTGTTATTCATCCTTTTTTATATATATATAAAGGAAAAAAATGAAGATTCTCCAATTTACTAAATGTTTTAATTCTCCTTTTGGGGTCCTTTTCTACGCATCTTATTTATGTTTATGAGATATAATAGTTAGAAATATATGCTGTATTCATGATATGATGACTTCATAAATTTATATGAAATTGTTTTCTTTTCTTTTAAAAATCCTAATCATTTTTAGTATGGAACTCATCTCTATCACAGCTAATATATGTTTTTCACTAATATTCTTTTCATAATTATCTGAGTTCCTCAGGTAGAATAGACCATTGGTTTATATTACTTTCTTAAAACCTTTTACTGAGTGATCCACATTAATTATTGTGTAGTAATGAAGGAATACCACACAGTAGTAGTTTAGTAGTTAGGAATTTCAGTTGTCTTTTTTTTTAAATTAGCCATGCTCACTAGTTGATTTTTATCTGTTCTATTTCTAATGTAATGTGGAGCAAACTTGGATTGTTGCTATACCTAGAGGCTGAAGCCTAGATTTGCATTGCCAGAAATACTGTTATTTTAATTTACTAAAAATGGGTGATTTTGATGGTTCATTTTGTTAGAAATATTTTGATATTTTGTCAAGGAAATGCTTCATATATTAAATGTTTGAAAATGCAAGAATATTATGAGTTTTCATTGTTATCTTTTAGCATGGTTCATTAATTAAACTGGAATTGAAGATCTGGTTATGGAATAGAATATGTCGGTTATTCAGACATCTTTATTTTTCTCTTGGATTTTTTTCCCCTTCAAATTCAATGCATGTGATAAAAAAATTATGTCTATTATCTGACAAGCTGTAAATTGCACACAATTATAGCACTCTGGTTTCAAACCATGCTTGCTATGTCTTTTAAAGCAAGTGAATTAAATTGTTATGGGTGTAGAGATATTTGTGGTTATACCCTTTTTCTATTCTATAGAAAGGTTTTTAATCTGACTAGCTAAACCGAACAGGCTGTCAGGATAATATAGCCTGAAATATGTTTTAAACTGAGACATAAATTGTATACTACTGTATACAATATTTATAAAATATACAAAATTAACTTAAAAAATCTTATTCCTGATAACTAATGAATATATCAATATACGTTTTCTGGCAACAATATGAAAATGGTTTGCCATTACTGTTTCTACTAATTTTTTTTAACTTTCTAATTTAATTTCTGCCTAAAATGTCCTTTCTTTTCCTACTAAGTGGGAGCAACATGGTACTTATCTTTTTCAAGGTCAATAAATGGCTAGGGGTTGCTAACTTTAATAATACTACAAATACAGTGTTTTGTGATTTGTGAATATTTTAGGAATGTAAGTTTGTTAATTATGATTTACCCATAGTAATAGTTATATGATATGTAGTACTAATAAAAGGCAATTAATTTTAATAACCAGAAATTCAAAATACTATGTTCTAATTAATACACAATAGTACCAAAAATACATTAAGTATCTATTAATGATACATTACAAGTTTGATGAACAACTCTTCACCAATCATATAAAACACATCACTATGCAAGGGACACCATATTTCAGCTTCTAGACCTCTGGAAATAATCCACTGAAGGTTTTCAAATCTACCACTTCAAAATACATTCCAAAAATGAAAATACTGTACCCAAAAGCTATTCTGATTTCCCTCCTTAATGAGTGCAACAAGTTGTTTATAGATATTTCATTCCTATAAATACAAATTCATTTTTTATATTAATTGATAAACAGACCAGTGTGTTGCTGATATGCAATTTAACTTAATGGAAATTGCTTCCATTAACAAATAGGAAGGAAGAGGGAGTAATACTCCTCCATAATTAATAAGAAAGTTTCTGTCTGTCTGTCTGTCTGTCTGTCTGTCTGTCTGTCTATCTATCTACCTACCTACCTACCTACCTACCTACCTACCTACCTACCTATCATCTATCTATCTAGCATTATAGTTATACAACAGTGCATGTTCCTCTGTTATTAGTCTAAGGCAGTTTTACTCCTAAGATAAAACATCCTTGCAATTAGAGAATGCAAATACTATATAATTTTGCAATTTTATGTACTTACCTGTATATCCAATTGAAAGCCACAGAAATTGCTTCTGGGCAAATCCAAACACTATGCTGTAGGACTATATATTTAATTATAAGAGAAAATATATTTTCTCTTATAATTTAGTTTCCTACCTTATTAAAACTGTTGCTGATTTCTAAAATGGGTTATGAGTTTAATATGCATTAACTGAAATAAACAACTAAAATGGAGATATCATAGTTTTATGTTTCAAATGAAGAGTTTTAATTTTTCCAGGTTTTTTAGGATTTAAGAGCATTGCCTAAAAAACTACTTGTAATAGCTTTTGTGGTGGTATCACAATTAATCTCTCAGCTAATCTCTCAACTAATTATCAGTATAAATTACATCAAAAATCCACATATTGAAGTAGAAAAATCTAAATTCCATGCAAAAAATTCCTTTAAAGTCCCATACCATCTTAAAACTAAGCATTGCCAGAAGACCAATTCAAAAGTGTTTCCTTATGAACCAGTACAATACACAGGCTATAGAATTTATTAATTTTGGTTAATGACCAGCTTTATAAAACAGCCAGTAAAATACAACATATGAGATACTACAATTTCAAGAGCAACTGTAAATATATATTAAAACAGACTGAGTGGCTTTTTTGATTAATGGTAGAAACATGGTAGATCAGACGAAGTTTTATCAAATAGTCAAATTAAAAAAAAAATAATGTTGGGTGACTGAGGCTAACTTCTGAATAAAGAAGACAGGAAGTTCACATAAAGACATACCCCACAAATATTTGTTCCATAGTCAGTAAAATTAGATTAAAATGATAAAGACAAAGGACTAGATCTTTACTAAATGAAGCTACTCAATTAGCTATTCTTTATCTATTTTAAACAATCCTTTCCATTTCACCTTTGATAATATAATTTATTTTTATTTGTGCAAGCATACAAAATATACATTATTTTCCCTCATACAATATTATTTGTATTGGCTCTGAGGGCATCCCATGGTTTTAAAATGCAAGAAAATTTGTTATGTATATTTACTAATCTAGCCTTATACAGGAGAAATATTGAATTTCTCAAATATTTTGTTATGAAAAATAAATCCAATACTCTCTTCCCATGCGCGCAGATAATGAGGCTTGCAACAACTAAATCCACACACTTGTTAAATATAAGTAATTGTATTCAGAATTATTCCTTTTTGTCCAATTATTAGGACTGTTCAGGTTAAATTATAATATTTCAAGTGACCTGGTTGGTAGATCAATTTGCCAGTCTATTTCCTGAAAATTAAAGTTATCCTTTCTTGAGTGGGGTAGAAAATATACCTACCTATTCACACTACAGCTTTCCAAATCTCTATTCTTTTTATTTGCATTCCTTACAATTCTACAAAATTCTGATCCTCAACCTAATTTTCAGCTTGATCTTTACAATGCAAAAATATGCTTATGTCATAGTTCAAAGAGATGAAAGAACAGGGGTTGGAATATTTAACAAAAGATTCAAATGTGAGATGAATCAGGGGAAAGCACAGCTGCAAGATTCACTCCTATGGAGGAAAAGCCATGCAGTCTCCATCTCTTGACCTCCTCTTTCATTGAGGGGCAGGCTGACTGGGAAAGGGCAAAACAGATTCTTACCTTCACTGCAATCCTTCCCACGGAAACCAGTATGGGAGCAGTCACACACTGCCTGATTGTTGAGCACAGAGCATACACCACCATTGAGGCAAACATCTCTAGCACATAAGTGGCTCTGTTCATCATCCAGACGTACTTCTTGACTCTCCACAGGTGAAGACTGTGTATAATTGACTCTTACATCTGTTATCCATCCTTTGAAAGGTTCCCTATCCTTCACTGAGGAGAGTGTTACTTTCAGGGTAGGTGAACGTAACTCTGGAGGCAACCCTCCTAGAAAGAGACCACTGAAGACCGTCATGTCCCGCCGCTTAGATTTCACTTCTACCCATTTAGCCTCAGCCTGATCAATTAATAGTGTTGTATTCTTAAAATTGCGGCGAATGACCACAGTGTGCCACAGGTTATCATTGACAGCCATGTCAGAGAGCAAGATGGCAGGCTCAGCACAGAAGATGGAGAAACTTAGCTGGAGCCGCCCACCTTGTGTCAGAATTAACTCCAAGAAGTCGCAGAAGCCCTCATCATCGAAGTAAAGGACCAGGCCACTGGAACTGCGGGTTTTCATGTTAAAGCTCATCTCGCTTTCACAGCAGGCATTCCATTTGGGGAAGCGAGTCCACTGGCCCTCTGCTCCTGGGAACTCCAAGCCACTGCCAAGCTCAGCCCAACATCCCAGGAGCAGTGCCATCCAAAGTAGGAGGCAGCCTCCACGCCGAAGGAGCACAGGCCCCATTCTTGGTGGGGTGGGGTGGGGGAGAGGGGGAAGAGGAGGGGGGAGTGGTGGTGGGGGCGTTGAAGCAGACAGGGTAAAATCTTTCCAGTGACCACTCACAACAGATACTTAATTCTTGCTTTCCAGGTTCTGGGGGAAAATAAACTGGCTGCCTTCCCCCAGTAGGAGAGGCTCAGGCTTTTCAGCCAAGATGCAAATTTGTTCTTTTTCAATAATAAAAATAAAAATAATGGAAGAAATGAAAGATAAAGCACCAACAAATGTGCAATTTTATTTGAACTGTAAAAAATGTTTTTAAAAATAAAAGGCACTGATAAAAAGTTATTCAGTCATCTGCTTCTCAAAGTGAAGACTAAGAGTGAGTCAACAAATATATTAATATTAAAAATCCATGTTGACAAGATGAAAAGAAGCTGGGGATGGGTGGAAAATACACAAATGTAGGAAGGTCCATTAACTACTTAGAAGACCTTTTTAAAAGATCCACAAATCCAGCAAGATTTAATCAATATTCCAGCATATATGGAAAAGTCAGTATCCAAATGTATGTAGAAGTCATCTTATCCAATAGCTATATTTCCCAGGAATTTTGTCACCTTCACTGCAAGCAATTTACCAACTCCAATCCTGTCTTTCCAAAGTTGATTCTTTCATCAGACCATGGACTGCCTGCCATGTAATAAACCAGGAGACTGTGTATTTCCCAATGGGGCTGAAATCCAGAAGCTGTCATGTAGCTTAGAAGCTACTTGCTATGCAGAGCCTCACAGCTGCTCCTATTTTGTTTTTCTTCTGAAAAGCCAAAATTGAAAAGATCCTGGTGCTTGATTGTTGGAAGATTTTGCACCATTTTTTTTTAAAAAATGTGTTTTATAAAAACCTGCAAAAATTACAAAGATAACAAAATTACATTCACAATCCTGAGTACTTCATTCCTGAAAAATAAAGAGCTGAAAGTAACAGCAAATATAAATGCAACCAGAAGTAAATTGAAGGTCTTCTGCTACAATAGACCCACATACCTAACGTATTGTGCTCAAAATGTTTCTGGTGACACAGCATGCTACATTTGTAGCAATAAGTTTTTATGCAAAAAAGAAATTGGAAATGCCTCATTAAAGTTATGATACAAAGGGATATCAAAATATATTTATTACTATTCTATATTTACTATTCTCAAAAAGATTCATGGTAAAAAGTATATCTCTGCCTGCTATATACTAGGTTTAGCAATTTTCCATGTAATAAACATGTTTTTAATATTATATAAAGTGGATGAAATCATAGGAGGGGCAAACTAGCAGTGAATTTCTTCAGTGGTATGGCTGGTTTTTTTCCCTGGAATCAATATATTTATTGATATATTTCTTTGTATATTTTTATCTGCTTCCTTTAATTAATTTTTAAACTTGGAAAATTGATTCATTTTAATTGCTTATATAATAGAGGCCAAAGTTTGATTAATCTCTTTCATCTTCTATCATAAAGAACTACATACAATCTCATAATCTCACATTAGATATAACTTGTAACTAGCTAAATGTACATGTTTCTCTGTAATGCAAGTTAAATTGGTTTCCATGTTTTAAAATATTATCTCACCCTTCCCCCTCAAATATTCCCAGCTACACCCACCATTTGCAGATAATGCATATTTACTGGTATTTGTTCAATCACATCATTATTTCTATACCAGTACTCCACTGCAGCTACAGCTGTCATCTAAGAAAACTAATTGACTTGCAGCAGCAAATAAAAAAAAAATTCCTCAAGTAGTAGCAATACCAGAGCATAACTCTTTTAGATTGTACCTAAAGTATTAAATGGCATATGCTACTTTCATCTACTTCAAGTGCAAACACCTCTTGATATCCATAATTTGCATTTTACAACTAGAAGTATTTCAGCACTATGCCAATACAGCACAAAGGCTGTAGGAGGGGAAAAACACTTTATATTGTTTACTTCTTGGTGCAGGCAGTATACTGTGATTGATTCATTGACTGAACAAATGAATAAATTTATATGCCACCTGTCTCACTATCCTAAGTGAGTCTGGGCAACTTACAATGATTGTAGGTGCAATTAATATTTTGAAAACACTGGGAGAAAAATGTTTAATAAATACAATTGATTGGTGATGGCAATTTCTACATTTTAATACCTTTTAACTTCAAAATAGAATTTTCATGTCAACATTGTAGTTCACCAGAAGTCCCCCAAAAGCTGAGAAGGTAGGACTTCTTGTTATAGTTGTAATGCTATTTGGTAAGAGCTAACTACATGATGAGGGGAAAGTATATCATTTTGGAATTAATAAAACTTTGTATTTTGGGAGACACAAAGAATAATTCTTACTTTGGCTTGAAATCAAAATATTGCAAGGACAAAAATTAAGGAGAGAAATTAGAGTTTGGGATACCTTTTCCCAAGTATTTTTTTTTAATTTTATAAATATACATAAGCTTGCATGTATATAATATAGTCATAAACCACCATTTTAGTCAAATACTCAAAGAGGTGGTAGAAATAGATTTAAAATAATATTTCCCCCTTATGATTCAAATCTCAACTATATTTATAAATTAACTCTCAAAGTTAATATTATTCAATGTTTTAAAGAAAAAAAGGTGTTAAAAGAACTTGTTCCCTGATCAAGGATCACTTTCTAAGCTCCTTGTCCTATTATTTAATATTCTACAGTGTTGGCTCTATTTGTTTATGTTGTACTAACCATTTCCCATCTATTAAAAATGGCAAATTTTCTTTTGGTTTTAAGAAAAATATGAATAGACAATCTATCGGTTCAAAAATAGGCTTCAATATGGCGATTGAAAGCTTTTTTTAAAAAAAAAATGGATCATGGATTTGTCAGCATGTGCTGGAAAGACAACTTGTAAATTTGTAATTTCAGAATTTGGATGAGGGAGAGCAATCTGAACTCTTTATCATTAAACTCTTAACACCACCTGATAACACAATGTTAAGAATGGGGGGGAGGGGAATCATACACAGGGTACTGGTGAATATGTGCATGAGAAAATAAAACAAGGAATTAGTAGGGAAGAATGGGAATAAATTTGAGTCAACTAGGTAAAATAGGCAAAGGAGAAGGCAAGTTTGAATTACTGTACAGGGCCACCTATATTGGCTGCAGAATTTATTTCCATGCAGACTATTTGAGAATAGCCACACACACAGTGTATGAAGGGAGAAAAATGTTGTTTAAGGGATTGTTCTATGAAAGGACCAGGTATTTTCCTTTGAGGCTTTTGTGGTCTTCGTTGTAATAAGCCTCTGACTCTCAGCCTGGACTTATCAGCAAGGCAGCGGCCAATGTCAGCAGCAAGCAGGGGAAAAAAAAAAGAGCCTCATTTCACCTCCTTGAGGGGCAGCCAACCCCGCTGAGGCTTCCCGTTCCCGCTTAGAGAAGCGCTGACGATTTGGCGCCGAGGACCACCTTGGCCCTTTCCGTCAGGGTTGTCTGTTAGGGAGAAGGGTGGGGACGTGCCCGGGTTGCGGGAGGGAGAGGAAGCGAGAAATTGATGACACCGCATCCAGCCCTCGCCCGCTGCCCTGCCCCCCCCCCCCCCCCCCGCTCCCCGCCGTCACGCTTCCTCACGCGCCCACTGGCAGCTGCCGGGCTCCTCCTCTGGCGAGGCAGCGCGCGCGCTGCAAGCTAGACGCCCCGTGCTTTTCAAAGCTCGCCGTTGCTGCGGCTGCTTTCGCTAGAGACTGACCGGAGGGAGGAGGGGGAGAGGGAGTGAACGCTCGGGCTACGTCGGTCTGTTTCCAACCCCCATCCCCATTCCCGTTTCCAGGTTGTTGTGCTGAAGCTCGGGGGAATGGGGGAGGGAGCAAAGGGAAGGGGGTGTGCGTGTGTGAATGTGCTGGAGAACCAGCGCCGGAGTGTGTGACTGAAAGTATTACAGGACGGCGGTGTTAACGAATGTGTGGGAGAGTTGTGCAAAAAAAAAAAGAAGAAGAAGAAGAAGAAGAAGAAGAACGGGAGAATTCATTATCTGCAAACGGGTGAGAAAAGAAGGGGTGGAGTGGGATTGAAGCCTTACAGAGACATAAATATTCGGTGAAGAACGCGCTGTGTCTCCCAAGCACGACGCGCTTTCTCCAGCTGGCAAGAGCTCTCCAAGGTCTCAAACAGCGCTCGCTCTCCGTTTTGCCAGCCTCGCTTCCTAAAATCTCTCGCGTCCAACTAGCGAGAGCTCTCCAAGGTTTCGGTCAGAGCTCTCCGTTTTCCCAGCCTTTGCTTCCTTAAAAAAAAAAAAAAAAAAAATCTCTCTCGTCCAACAAGCGAGAGCTCTCCAAGGTTTCTCAACAGCGCTCTCCCGTTTTGCCAGCCTTGCTTCCTAAAATCCCGGATAACGCGCGGAATTGAAGGTGCTAAAGAGACCTTCGCACGCAAAAACTGCCCTTCGCTGCTGAACAGCGGCCTCTTCCCCGGAATGAGGGTGTGCGCCATGCAGATGCCAAGCAAGAATTGAATTTGGGATTTTCCACCACTGCAAAACTCGGTGGTGAACCACGGAGTCCCCCCCCACACACAAAAAGGTCCCAACAAAATATTTGTTGCTTTGTCTTTATGAATCCGGATCCATTTGGTCGTTTAGCCCTCTAGTGTCATGGAGAGCTTTTTCCACCTTTGCAGTCAGAGATTGTTTTAATTGGAAGTGCCCAGAATTAGAGCAAAATATTCATGCCTGATAATTCTGTGTTTTTCCATGAAGAAAAAAAAAATGTTTAAAGAGAGGAGGGGAATTAATGAGTGAAAAAAACAACACGCAAGACAAATTGATTATTATATGTGAGAACTCAGGAAAGGTTATGGATAAAATAGATTTTCTGAAGAATATTAGAAAAGGATATTAATATATGCGTGTGTGATAGATATATTGAAGTATGTGTGGAGACAAAAGGTGAAAGTTAACTTTGTATGAAAGAAAAGCTTAATTTGTGTGCAAATGTATGTGAGAGAAGATTAAACAAAAAAGCTAGACTATGTTTGCATGAATGTATTCATATGACAGCGTAAGTAATGGAAAAGGAATACCCTTTTGTTGGTTAAAAAAAAATCAGTAATTTGTGCAGAATAGACCGCTATTAGCAAAGAAGGAAGAATTATCCTCCATCTACAGGGAAGGTATGGCTATGAGAATGAAAATTGCACAAGGAATGCTGAGGTGTTTCAGATAAGAGTTGATGGGTGTGCAAAAAGGAAGGACAGAAAGAATCACTGTGGGTATATGATCCTAATCATGGTGTCCCAGGCAAGAGTCATGAGGGCCGAGTGTGAATTTAAAAAAAAAATGGATAGTTTTGGGTGTTGCTATTAAGATTATGAAGATTGGAATGAGCATGCATAATAAAGGGGTGGGAGAACTCGAGGGAAAGACAAATGTGTGTGTGTGTGTGTGTGTGTGTGTTACAGGAATATGATGTTGCAAATGTTGTATAATATCAACGTATCCTAATTAAGTGTGTAACTCATTACAGCAGATGTCATGATGGGGTGAATAAAGACTGAAATAGAGGTCTAAATAGTTATTGTGTTGAGAGTGAGAAACAGATTGGCAGCAGTTTATGAGCCAAGGAATGGATTCAGTGTATGAGAAAGCTATGGTTATGTATGTCTAGGTGAGTGGTTGAATGCAAAAAAAGTAACACAGAACCTGGTGCATCTGAAGAAAGTGACATTGTTTCAACATAAGGACTGCTACTGAGGCAAAAGGGAGAAGAAGAAAAAAATATCCTTAACAGGTTGGAAAAAACTTCCCAGAATTATAGCCTTGGAGTTCAAGGTTCTGCTAAGACTATGTGTCTCTCTTCCTACTGCAGATCTATTGAGAATGTCAGAATTAGGGATGGATGGGAGTTTTGTGCCTTCCCAAAACCAAAACAGAAAATGGAATTAATCCTTAAATTTATTTTAATTAATCCATTAATTAAATTGGGTTAATAAAAGATTCTCTTCTAGGATTTGTATAGTTATAGCTAATTTGTATCATAAAATATGCTTATTTTCTAAAGGAAAGGAGTGTCTTCAAGGATGGGGTCTGTGACTGTTGTTGGTTCAGTGGAAATTGCTTAGGAGAAAAAGTGACCAGTTAGGCTGTCCTCAGAAAGTGAGAAGCTCTGTATGGCTGTATGTTTGCCTGTTCAGCTCTCATGCACATACACATACATGCAAACCAGAAGTGCATAGAAGAAGGGTTCCTATAAATGTCAGCTGCTGAACTAAAGAGATCCCTTTTTAAAATATTTTTCTTACATTTAATTGATGACAGCACCTTTTGCTCTCTTTGTGCTGCCCACCTTTCTTATGCCTATATAAACACAACAACAGCTGCAAAATAATACTAGTAACAACAGCCATTTGCAAATTTATTATGGCTGATACAATGATAAACACTGAATGTCTAGTGGTTTGCAAAGGAAGTGTAGCAGATAGATTGTGAAAGATGGACTGCTGATTTAACATGCATGACTTAAATGGACTGTTAGAGTTTTTGTTTTAAAAGCCTGTGGTCCTTCTTGCCTAATTAATAGACGAGAATACCTATTTCAAAACTCATCAATGAATTCAATACCCCCACCTTAAAGTAAATTGCTGTTGTTATTATTATTAATATAGCATTTTAGCTGTAAGTTCATCAACTTGGATATTAAATAAGGATAGAGCAACAGAGATGAAGAAAAAGATAATCAAAGAAGGGAGAGCATTATGGCAATAAATCCAACAATAAATCCTTAATAGCAGGTCATTTTGGCATCTATAGCCTTACCAGCATCCTGCTGTTTTAAATATCAGAAGGATTTTCTCTGGATGCAGGAAGGACCTGGGGAGTACACAAATTACAAGCTGAAATAAAAAGGGGCTGGGAAGGGGGAGGAACTCCCCACACCCTTTACAAAAATACCCTCTGCTGCAAGGAGAGATAAGTGCCCTCATAAAAAAAAATACTTTTTATATATTCATTTTCATCCATTTAATGCTCCTTCCACCATTCTTCATACCTTCCAATCTAATTATTTTTAGAATTGACTCCTTTAACTGTTAGGCAAACATATTTCTTCCTATTTCTTTTCTTTCTTTCTTTCTTTCTTTGCTTGCTTATTTGGATTTATTCTGTTACTTAAGCGAGCTGCAGGTTATACCTCAATTTATATTCCCTCCCTCCCTCTCCCCCCCCTCTTTCTCTCTCACACACACGGATTCTAAAATGAGGCAGCAGCTGGGATTAAGGCAGTTTCTTCTAACATGTCAGATAAGCAAAGGGGAGCAGAAAAGAACGCCCCTTCCTCTCGCTATTTAATGGATCCCAATTAAAGCGTCCCGAAATATAAATCTGCATCCGAAGCATAGCTCCACTTTTCTAGCCCTCCCCTTCGCCAAATTGCCACATATTTTACCAATGGAGGGAGGGAGGGGAAGGGAAGGTGAGGGGAAAATCAATACGATTGATTCTTGCCCCCCCCCCAACTCGGCGCATCCGAGCCTCTAAAATCCCAGGCAAGATTTTTTTCCCCTTTCTCCCCCAAATTATTAATAAATCACTACAAGAAGGCTTTAACTTCCTAATCGCAGCAGCACCGCCGCCACCATCTCCCCCGCTTCGCTTTGCAACCCTCTCCCCTTTTCCAAATCCTGCGTGCAAAACCCGTCCCCGGTCCCTTGCGCAGCCTTGACAGTTCAGAATCCCTGCTAAATGGGCATTTCCCGCTCCCCTCCCAGCAACAACACGGACACCTGTCCCTCTCCCCAAACCCAGCTCTGTTTACCTGCGCGGATTATCCTCCTCGCTTTGTAAGGCGTTGGTCCAAGAGCATTTTCCCCCCGTTAGGTTCTTTGAATAAGGCAGTTCGGGGAAGCAGAAGCAGAAGGGATGAGAGGTGGGGGGGGGGGAAGAGAAAGAAAGTGCCGTCCCTCGCCTTTTCAGCAGCGTCAGGCTAGGGCTTCTATCTATCTCCGGGAGTAAGGGAGGAGAGCCGAGCGAAAGGAGGGCTAGCGGAGACCCACGTGACATCTCCTTGCTGTCTGTCTGCCGGAGGAGGGAGGAGCTGTTTTCTCTGCAGCGTCGTGGACAGGAACCTCTCCCTGCACGGCGGCCTCCGTCCTTCCATCGCGTCCCTTCAGAAGAGAGAGCGATGGGGCTGGCGCCGGATAAAAATGAAAATAAAATAAAAATTATTCCATCTCTTTCCCAAGCCACCCAGCCGCCCCCTGCCAGCCAACCCCGGCCTTTTTCTATTTCAGGGGTGACGTGATTCTTCCTCTTACAGGCCCCTTCCCCAAAAGCCGTTTCTGGCAGGGATCGGGCCAGCGCTGCAGGTAACGAAGAAGCTGGAATCCTCCTGGAATTTCTATGGAGCCGGGAGCAGAAGAGTTAATTGAAAGTGTGTGGGACAACATTCTGGAGTAGGTGGGGTGAATGCTTAATAATGTCATTTTTATTCTGAAGAAGATGAAGTCGAAGATGCTAACAAGGGGAGATATCCCTCAGCATGGAAGTTTCCTCCACCGGTCTTTTTTTCTCTTAAGCTCCAGTGCTCCTAGGGAAGAGGGAAGCCTGCAAGAAGGGAAAAGCAGGCTTTTTAATCTCTTCCAACTGTTGACCTCCTCTCCTTACTGCTTTTCTTGTTATATAAAGTAAATAGTTACCTCTCTCAACTTGCTGTGGGTGATACAGGGTGCAAGGTTGGTTAGCCAAGAGACTCCAGCTCATCCCGTAACTCATTATCATTGTTTCACATCCAATGAGACCAAAGTAGTTAGGCAAAAATAAAATCTAGGAGGCCACCACCATCTCCTGCTTCTCTTATACATTGACTTCAAAGAGAGGAGCCAGAATCTTGCAGGGTTCCCATAGAGGCAGCCACTACTCCATCAGATAGTATCTGCTCCCACATTGCACACAGTGTCTCCAATACACATAGGATGGAAATCTGTCCATAATGCTCCCCAGGAATACTTAGGTGAGCAACTACCAAGAGAGAAGGGTTACGAACAGATGCTATCGTTTCATCCAAGAATGTCCTCCCCAAAAGGATTAGGGGCACTGGTGAAGAGTCTTTAAGGATTTCTGTTGGAATATTTCATTCCCTATTCCTTTCCAGTTTCTCAATAAGAGTTAGAAGGGACCTTGGATGTCTTCTAGTCCAACCCCCTGCTCAAGCAAGAGACCTTATACCATTTCAGATAAATGATTGTCCAATCTCTTCTTAAAAGCTTCCTGTGATGGAGCACCCATAATTACCTGCGGTAATTACCTGGAAGTAATTGTTCTGTCAGGAAATTTCTTCTTGGTTTTAGTTGGATCTCTCTTTAATGATCCTTTGCTCATTACTTCTTGTCCTGTCCTCAGGTGCTTTGGAGGATACGTTGACTCTCTCTTCTCTGTGACAGCTCTCAAGTCCAGTTGCTTTATGAAAAAAGCATCTTTGCTTTTGGGACAACCATGACCTGGATGATTTTAGAAGATGAAGGAAGCAACTGCTGTATTTGGAGTTTTCCGGATACTATTGTAGTATTTCAAATTATTTTGCAATTCAAGACCTAATCTTCAGGCTCTGATCCTGGAGGCTCCAAAGATCAGGTGTGGCTATTTTTTTTTAAATTCATCAATGTGTCTGATTTTAAGGTCCTTCTAATGAGTAGGAAATAGGTCGAATGAGCAAAGAAACCTGCCTGAAACAGAGCCTGTATAATTTTCTATCATTCAACTCTTTGATCTGTGAAATCAAATCCCAAACAAAGCAAAGGCTCACTTCTTCAAAATCATTTTTAGTAAAACTCACAAAAACAATGTTGTCTAATAAATATGCTTTGTATATCATATGTCTACATACACAGAACATTACTACTTTAATAGATTGGGCAAACAGTGTGTGCATCTCTGGGTTCTGTGCTATTCACCAGTTTTATGGATGAAGGAATTAAAGAGATGAACATTCAAATTTGCAGAGGACACAAAACTAAGAAGAAGGGAAGGGAAGGGAAGGGAAGGGAAGGGAAGGGAAGGGAAGGAAAGGAAAGGAGAAAGGAAAGGAAAGGAAAGGAAAGGAAAGGAAAGGAAAGGAAAGGAAAGGAAGACACCAGTAGGGGGTGGGGACATTTAACTTCCCAGTAGTACATCTAAAAAGGATACATAAGCTAAAAAGGTGAATGCAATCTAAAACAGATGTCAACAAACTGAAGTAAGTTCAGAGGAGAACTACAAAGATAAATGACTGGAAATCAAACAGTATAAGGAACTGTTAAAGAAACTGTGGTTGTTTAGCTTACATAAAACACTGAGAGGAGATAAAATAGCAATCATCAGGTATCTAATGGCTGTCATATAGAAAAATAAATGGATGGTATATTTCCCTTCACTGAAAATTTTCAAATGGTGCTAGGACAGTTATCAGTTGAAATGCTTCAGCAGATCCTGAATTGAATAGAAGGTTAAATTAGTTGAACTCTGAAGTCCCTTACCAACTCTATGATTGTATGCTTCTATATTAAGTTGACATTATTCATATCCACAGTAGAAAGAAGAAATGTCTGCTTAGTTTTAAGCTACCACATTGAGATCTTAGAATAGAAAGTAACTGGTTTACTTTGGCAGATGTTCTGATCCACAGAGTCCTGGTTTGATCAGTTCTGGGCAACTTTCACCAAGATTGGCCTTAAACACTAAATATGGTTCCATATCTCTAAAGTGCTGGACCAAGTTTAATAAACAACCTATTAATCTTTGATAAGATTGTCTAGGCATTTAAATGTTGTGTGGAAAGTCAACTTCTTTCCCCAGCTTTCAAGAGTGGAGACCTAATCCAATTTCATACATGAAATCCAAATTTATTTTATTAAATCCAATTTTTCACTCAGCATTAGATTTTTCTAATTTATGTATTTATTTGTAAAATTTGTTGGCCACCCAAATGTTGTGGGGAAAGTCAACCTCTTTCACCAGGTTTCCAGGGAGGACAGCTAATCCATTTTCATACATGAAATCCAAATTTATTTTATGAAATCAAATTTTTCACTTGGCATTAGATTTTTCAAATTTATTTATTTACTTATAAAATTTACCTCAGATAACTCTGGATGGCTTACAATACAGTTAGAAGTCACCCAGAGTCGCTTGACAATGACAGCATATAAATGTAATAAATAATAGTAATAAACAGTTTGCAAAAGGTAAATAAACACATTGCAAAAGGTCACTCTAGAATCTAGGATGATCATTATTTAACAAATTTGCACTAGTCTCTGAAAGTTTATCTAGTCTAGGAGTGTCAAACTGGTGGCCCATGGGCTGGATGCGTCATGCACAGGCCATGCCCACCCCAGCTCTGCGAATAGGAAAAATGTAAAATGTCACATGATGGCAACATGCCATGACGAGTTTGACATTCGTGATCTAGTCAATCTCATGAAATTGAGGGTAGAGGACAGCTTTCCTTACCTCTTTACCAACAAATCCAGTGTGGTTTTCAAGTCAATGCAATTTTCTTGCCAACATTGTCAGAAGTGGTTTGCTATTTGTCTATAGTACTTTTTAGGGCGAAGACAAAATATCTGGCCCAAAGTCACCCAGTTGGCTTTCATACTCAGGTGGGACCGGAACTTGGTTCTCCCTGTTCCTAGTCTCTGTTCCTAGTCCAGAACCTTAACTATTACTTGCCCACTAATAAATATTAAATATTTACTTTAAAGAATCAGTTCTAAAATGGCTTACTGGTAAAACCAATCAGTAATCTTATGCAGTTTTTCAAATATAACAGTAAGAAGAAGAAACAGGAAGTCTCATCTTTATGAGTATGATCACAAAGATGCCAGCAAAGATAGTACTCAAAGGAAGACTTGTTTTTTTTTTACTTACATATGCCAAGCTACTGTATGTGGGAATTGCCTTTTCACGTTTTTTTCCTGCCAATAATTTAATGCAAACATAAAGAAGGTTATAACTATATTTTGTGATCTCATTTTCTCTGAGAAACAATTTTCATTCTGAGCATGAAAAATTGTGGGGGGGGGGTTGTTTCCTGGTAAATCCATGAATTGGATGGGAGATATAGGGTAAATCTCTATAAGGTAGCAGTGAAAATATATACCATATATCTGCTGTGAATCTGGATAGATAATAATAGATTAGCTGGTGAAATAATATAGTTGCTATAAAATTGTTTCCCATGTTATCTATTCCATTGTACTTTGAATATGGAAATGAGGGAGAAGTACCAACCCCATTTTACCATATATTTATTCAGCATGTTAATTGTATTCTACAATCAGAACTCATGCAATTTGTACTTTTTCAAAGGAACAACAGACAAATATTTGGGGTTGTAATTCTGCAACTACACGTAGAAAACGATAGTATAAAGGGATTTCTACAATTCTAGGACTTATAATACCCTTTTTCCCTACTCTGCTCAATAAGCTGCTGATGTATGTCTGAATATAACATTGTTATTATATATAGTTTGAAAGTATGGTATTTCTGAATCTCATGTGCAAATGTTTAATGTCTGCTGTTCCCTATACTCCTGTGCATAGCTACATTTCTGTTTCTGCTGGAAGCAGTGTATAATCCAGGGGCTCAGGGAGAAGCAGAGTTGGATGGTTGAAGATCAATCATGGAAAGGCTATGTTTAGAATGTTTGAACACATGAATCACAATTTGCCAGGATAGAAACAGCATATTGGTTGCAGAAATACCAGACATGGAATGTTATAATAGAACTCAATAGCATGTTCTTCTCTTCTCTTTGCTACTGAGGTTGTGGTCTTTGTTTTCATTATACAAAAGTATTCTTTACTGTATGGTGTAAGGGCGTGATGGTGAACCTATGGCATGCATGCCAGAGGTGGCACGCAGAGCCCTTTCTGTGGGCACGCGCACTGTTGCTAGCTGGTCTTCGCACATGGAGTGCCGGAAACCCGAAGACCAGCTGGCCAGCATGCATGCACATATCTGAAACCCAAAGACCAGCTGGCTGGCATGCACATGTGCACTGGCCATCTGGTCTTCAGGTTTCTGGGGCTCCAGCA